GGGGGGGGGGGGCGGTGAAGATGTCATATGACGACTCTGTCTGAGTCTGTTTTCTAAACTCCTTTGGAAGTCCTTTTTTTCCCTTGTTTCTTGTGTCTTTTGCCAGCTTTGCACTTTTACAACTTTGCATCTGTTAGTTGAATGTACTGCTTCGTTCGCTGCAAGCCAGGTGCTCCACTTGGCTATCACAAAGAAGAAGAAAGGAAGAGAGAACAGAAAACTCAGCGTGGTGCCGAGCATGCAATTCACAAACCGATGAGTCCCTCAACCATTGTTTCATAGACTGCATAAGAGCCAATCAGCTCCGGCAGGACATAACAATAACTTGGAACAAACAATCCAAAAGTACAATCGCAATTAACCCTGCGACAATATTCCTGGACAAAGAACAGACCCCCCCTCTAAAGGGCTTTGAACTATTCCTCTTTGCTCTAATTAGGAAAGGCACGCTCTGGGCAATTTGGAAAAAGAGATGTGCAGCTAACTTCAAGGACACCAGCGACAACTCTGAAAATCCCCTCATCACCATCAAGCAAGTAATCGAAACAGAGATACAGGCCATCTGGAATAAAACAAAAAAACAACTTCAGGAAACACCCGATAAAAAGATGGAAATAATCAAGAAATTCAAATCCTCGAGGCTAGGCAATGGAAAGCTCGGGACAATCGTGGGGGATAGGCTTATTTTCAATGACTGGCTAGTCATACCAGCACAGGGCAATCAGGTACAGCCTGCCTCCCAAATGATAACTGCGATTCCAGGGCCGGTCGAACCCAATGCATTGCCAGACGATGGAACAGACCGGAGAATCTGAGCCCAAAAGGGAATAAAAAAGGGAATAGAAAGCCCTACAAAACAAACAATGACAAACCCACTCCCAAAAATCGGTTTTGCATGGCAGTAATACTAATCCACCCACCATTCCCTACTCCCCAACCTACACAGTCTCTATACCAACCTCAAAAGGCCCAGCTATCCCCTCTACTACAACCCCCCCACCAACGAACCCTCCACCTTCCACCAATACCCCCCACCACCTCACCCCACACACACTACCCACACACTGACCAACTACAACGTAGGAGCCAATCAAAGCCTACAGAGCATCAGTTATTAGATCGGCACCAGCAACTATACAGAATTTCAGCCCATGAGCCGAAATTAGAACTAAAATACAGGGTCTATGTCTACGGCTATTACGGACTATGGTCTACAGGACTTAAATTCCAGCCGGCAGCCAAGCAACTGGGAGGGTCAGGCCAGAGGTAGCTCAGTGGCCAGTCAACAAATGGAGCATAGCAGGATAGCATATCAAGGAAGGCCAAAAAAGAAAAATAAGGACTAAAGACCATAGCTAGAGAGTCAATGGAAGACAGACCTAGCTCCTCCAGCAATACACACAGATTCGACAGCTTTACAGCTGTGAGGAAGAACTAGGGAAAGCTCAGATAAACCGACAGACAGAGACCACATTACAGAGTTCACAAACTCGGAAGGCCTTACAAGCCCAAGATTACGTCGAATAGGCCAACTTAGGCAGGGGTGAATGATGGTACATCCTTCCCAAGGGAAGTAATCAATGCCGTCTTTCGGGCCTTCCTACCATAAAGGGGAGGAGCGTGTGTGAGTACCT